CGATACTCAAAGAGTTGTATCGTCATACCTCAGGTCGGGTTAGGGCCTATAGCCAGATTTCACCACCCTTCGCCGTCTCCAGTGGAGTTAGACAAGGCTGCCCTATATCCCCTTTCCTTTTCAACTTCACCATAGAGGATGTTCTACTGGACGCTTTGTCCGGTTTAGCAAACGGTGGAGTCGAACTCCTCCCAGGGAACAGAGTTCTTGACTTAGAATATGCCGGTGACATCGCCTTGTTGGGTGGCAATGCACAGGCAGTCCAGCAAGCATTACACCACTTGGTGATCGAGGTATCCAGGTATGGTGTGTGCTTTGCACCATCGGAGTGCAAAGTGCTGGTTCAAAACTGGCAGGAGCCTGTGCCTGCACTCACCCTCTGTGGTGATCAGCTGGAAATGGTCGAGAGCTTGAAGTACTTCGGGAGCTTAATCACAGCTGGAGGTGGGGTTGGGGAAGAGATCACATCACCAGTAGCGAAAGCCGGAGCAGCTTTCGCCAGCCTGCGACATCTATGGTGGCACCGTGACATCCGACTGTCCCGTAAGGGAAGGGTGTACATCACCGCGGTCCGTAGTGTTCTGCTTTACGGTTGCGAGACCTGGACTCAGAGTGGAGGATGCCAATCGGTTTTCCGTATTCGACCACCGATGCCCTCGAAGCATCACTCGTGTCTGGTGGGAACATTGGGTGAGCAATGACGAAATTCGTCATCGTGTGCTGGGTACTGATAATCGTTCTCTAACGGAAGAAATCGTTCTACACCGCCTCTGATGGCTCGGTCATGTTTTGCGCATGCCTGCCCATCAATGACCTCTCCGTGCTCTCTTTGCAGGTGCCGGACAGGGCTGGAAGAAGCGCCGCGGCGGTCAGACCATGATATAGCCTGGAGGTCTGAAGAAGTTAGCCTCAGCATTGGCTTCGGTTGGTGCAGTTCGGCTTCCAGGCTGGGGCCCAAGGGATGAGAATTACCGATGGCTAGAGACGCTGATAGATATTGCTCAGAATATGTCAATGGCGCAGTTGCTGTGCGGTTTGGTTGGCGAAATCCCGTTCCCCATAACAAAAAGATCGTCAAAAAGTGTACGATAAAACTATTAAAAAAAACCATTCATTCATTCATTTGTTCTCCGTGTTCTCTGTTTTCCCCATTTTCATGTGATCTTTGTGTACCTCATCACAAGTTCATTACCATTGTTTTGCATCAGTGCCATGCTTGTTCTCAAGCCGGTGCAAAATGTTTCTCAAGGACCACTACAGTTGCTCGCCCGTTAATTTCTGCCCTTAACCGTCAAATATACTTGCCGGTTTTCGTTTTAATGACAGTCCATCTGTCAGTGCAGCTCTTCTCTTTCGCTCGTGATACTCGGAGAGCAATGAGATAGACAGGAAAAAGATGAGATAGTGCACACAATTGAAAAAATAGCCACACGATTGTAATGGTTAAACGGTCTAAGTTACTGTCATTTTGGTGCGTTGGTTTCCAAGGTTTGAAGTTCAAACCGTATAATCGCTACCCAAGTTAGTTGGTATCTCACATGTCGGACGCATCGCGGATAAAGTGTCACCAAGCATCCAGGAGGCTCGATTGGCATTTGCCAACTTGGGATATCTGTGGTGCCGTTGCGACATCTGGCTATCTGTGAACGGCCAGTATATAGTGCAACAATTCGACCGGTGCTGCTTTAAATTGCAGAGACTGGTCCATTACGGGAACAGGATAAAGCTTTTCTGTCAGTGTTGAACCTCACCGTCTACGCCGTATTGCACGAGTCGTTTGGGGCCACCGGATGAACAGCGGCGAGAGTAAACGCAGCGTTTTGGGTGATCGCAGTGGCCCACTGGGACAAATGGTCGACCTTCATAGGTTATGTTGGTTGGGGTATATGTTGTACATGTCACTATTTTCTCCTTTACTCTGCTCTCAACATTCTGATCTTCCTTCCGCTCTTCTGTCCAAATGGGCAGCCTAAACATGGTAACCGAAACAGCCTCACGAATGTGCAGGTTTGCCATCACCCGGTTTATAAAACCTATCCTATTGGGGGCTTATGTATTTTGCAACTTCACGTCCCAAGGCTTGGGTTGTCGGCTCTCATAGATGAACAGGGGCTTCTCGAATCTACGGCGTCTATCCTTCTTGCTGTTCGCTACGACTCTGATCTAGGACCGAACGCTGGTCTGGTCTTCTGAATCCCAAATGAGTCCAACACAGTCCCTGCAATCAAATTAGTTAGTCATATATTTTGAATCCGTCATTTCCCATCCATGGTCTTCCCCCTACCGTTAAGTGATTGGACGATTGGTGAAATGGTCTACGTCTTTGAGACCATATTCAACACCCCTCCTCCCAGACTGACAGCAAAAATTAACGGTCTACATGCTATGCAACTGTTTTTGACCATTTTTACTTATTTTCTGCAACCCTCACTCACCAAATCCTATGGGATTCCAACTAAGGCTTGAATAGTTGAGTTCACACCCCCATAATACCATTTGTTATCTCGGCGTCAGCAGCTTGCTTGTTAAAAGTGAGATAGCGTTTGACTCCCTGACTCACATTGGTTGTGCACAACGCTGGCAGTATGAATCTTCCAAATCATTCCACACTAGTGTTTCATCACTTTTGTCCAATCGAACCTAGTGTGATGTGGAGATGAACAGTTTATCTCTGTGAAATGCGGTTGCACTGTTTTTTCGAGACCATACTGGCACATTTATCTCTCTTCTCTGTTCTGCTACAGAATGTTCGTGATTGTTCCACCATCGTCGTTGTACTTGAACACGGGCGTGTTCTCGGTGAGCCCGCTAGTCGTCTGCTTTTGATCCCCAAAACCGGTCGGAGACACCAACTTCGGGTGCACTGTGCTGCCGGCCTTGGACATCCGATTGTGGGCGATTTGTCCTACTCACCATGGCCGTTCATTAGCCAGCATAATGCGCTAAATCACGATTCGTCTCTGGACTACCGACTGAATCGTATGATGTTACACGCGTACCGTTTGAATATGATCATACGCAGTCAACGAGAAGGTGCCCTTGTTCATCATCATCGGGATCGCAAGGGATTTTTGCACGACACCCTGGTGGATAAGCATCAAGTATTGGATTTGTGCACCGGTGATCCGAATTTTTTTCCCTCAGATTCCCATGCGTGGTCGGTGGAGACGGAATTGCATAGCCTTTCTCAGTGGCGCGATACATTCACGCTTTGATTGCGAACTGTGACAACCGGCCGAGTTTGTACTGTTTTGTACACATCTAGGGCTTTCAGTTGTTGCACTGGAAATAGATTATTAAAGAAATCTGATGTCCTGATTTTCCCATCCCTCACTCTCCGAATGTAAATTCATCCATTCTCAACGTGGAACGTGTCGATTGAATCTTCGTATGGTTAACTGGAGGTCGTAACGGGTGCTCATGAACATGGGCGTTGTGTGACACGATTTTGTTGGTCGGGGAGGGGGAAGGGGGCGTCTAAAGAGCCTCTCTTTTCTCACCAGCCTACTGTGGCAGTTGCCGTTGTATTTTATTATATTGGAATGAAGCTTTAGTGAGTTATATAGAAGCTTTCAGACGAAAAGAGACCACTGTCACAATACTGGCAAGCAGGGGGG